GACAAGGAGTTGAAAGAAGCGATTACAGAATGGAATCAGCCAAAGATCAATGGATTCTGCCCTCAAAGAGGAATTCAGTGGATCTTCAATCCACCAAGGGCAAGCCATATGAGAGGAGCTTGGGATAGAATGATCAGGTCTGTGCACCAAATCTTGAAGGCCTTGTTCAAGGAACAGGTGGTCTGTGACGAAGTGCTTAACACTGTGCTGACTGAAGCGACCAACATCCTCAACAGTGGACCTTTGACGCGAAACAACGATGATGTTAACTAAGGATGAAGAACCCTTGACTCCAACCACTGTTACAGCTGCGACCATGTTCCAGTTTGCCCCTCAGAATTTTTGACAAAGAAGATATGTACTGTCAACAACAGCGGAAACAAGCACAATACTTGTCAAATCTCTTTTGGAAACAGTGGATTAGAGAATTCCCCCCAACCCTTCAGGAACAAAAGAAGTGGAACAAACCAAAGGAAAATCTAAAAGTGGAAGATGTCACTCTGTTAGCTAAGTGGCAAGAACTTTACAAGAGGACAGTGGCCACTTGTGCAAGTAGTTGAGGTCTTTCCTAGTGAAGATGGGCTTGTGCGTTCTGCAAGAGTTAAGACCAGTTTCACTGTCATGACTCATGTAAAGCGTCAAAAACAGAGGGAGGTGAAAATGACAGTGACTACCCTCGTACAACCAATTACAAAGCTGTGTTGTCTTGAATTATCAAGTCCTTAGTCATTTAGAATCATCCAGTGATTCTATGATCGCACTTGCAAGTAGTGCCTTGATGTTATTGATGTGCCTGTGCAAGCATTCCAAAATTGCAGTTGATGCAGACTCTGATCTAACTTTATTGACCAACAGTGGACATGGCATTTGACATTTGCAACGTGCCTTGAACTGGTGTGGATCCATATGGACGGAAATATAACAAGGTGTATTTACGCTCGCACCTAATGATATTAGTCTAAGATATGGACAGTTAGTTTATATTGCTTATAGTTATTGAGTAGCTTTGCATTATTCCACGTTAAATCGCGTACACTGGTAGCATATAGCTTATGAAAATGAAATAGTTTGTATAGATTTTATTTAGGGGCTGGTGTAGCTCCCATTGCATGCCTATGTCTTATGGAAAACATCCGGGCAATAATAATAATAATAATTTTATTTCAGTGTCAAACTTCTAGCAAGCCCATAATAGGCTTACTAATCAGGGACACCATCCTACCTAAAAATTACAATAATCTTTAATATTTACAATGATAAAATCTTTCTTCGGCTAAAAGTAACTTTATACAATAATATACAATGATAAGGAACATATCTAGAATTCGAAATATAAACTCCTTAAGCTACAGTCAAACTAAGACTGATTTAATAAGATCTTTAATGTTCATTCGGCTCTGAAATCTATATTAGGAAGTGCATGTGGGACAGTTTCCATTGCAAAAGTCGTTCTCCACCAAGCTAGCGCGATCTCTTTTCCTAATATTGGCCATAAAGGCCATTAATCTCCCATGTGTTCTTGGAAGGAGAATTGTGGCATTCATGCTAAGATATTTTGTTACTGTGAATTTTTGTTGTTGTTGAGGAGGAGGAGGAGGAGGAGGAAGAAGAAGAAGAATGGTTTATTCAATACCTTAATAGCAGCATGGACTGAATTGCTAAGGTTTACAATGTATAGAAGGGGAATTTTTATAAATATAATTACAAAACTACTTGCAATATGTTTACAATAAGAATCCACGACTACAAATATAAGATTTTAAAATTAGCGCAGCTGAAGTGCTAAAAAAGAACTGAATGTTTGTTAATGAAAGTGTCACGATACCTATTGGTCTTACATGGCTTTACACGGTATGGTCTAGCCTTCCGAGGTCTTTAGTTGGTCTCTCATTAAAAGGAATAAGAGGGTGCAGAACATCAAGGGGGTTATGTACAATTTTGTTAAAAAGTTTTTTACATAGTTCCATCCTTCTTTGCTATAATGTAATGAGGCCTGAACGTCCCAGGGCATCTGCGTAATGCACTTCATAACTGAAAATTATCCTAAGAGCACATTTCTGTATTCATTCAAAACTTAAGGTTAGATATTGTGGAAGACTAAAATGGAAACTCTAAGCTCGAACAGTCGGTAAGTTTTCGTTGTATTTGGGTGTATTGTAATTTCTCTTGCTAAAGCACTTTCTATTTGCAGAAAACTGTCCTTACTGGTTTGGTTGAGATTTTGATTTCAAGCATTATGTGTTTCTACGAAACACGCAACACTGAGTTTGATAAGAAGCATTAAAAAATATAAAATCAGAGAAAGATTTTGATCCTGAATTAGCATATTGGTATATCCTCATAAAAAGGAACAAGCCACATTCTCACGAAGAAGTAGGTAGTCTGAAGATACTTAGAACCTGATTCATTCCACAAAATCCATGTGAAAAGTAAGCATATCAAATTTATTGAAAGAAAGAAAAAATCGTTTTCTAGGTTAATTTTATTCATTGTCATACAGGATAGTTAGCACATTCCCTGATAAACATCTTCAAGTTGATAAAGGTTAGAAGACTCGTGTTATCAAAAGAAGAAAACAATCATCCAAAAAGTTAGGAATCAGTCAAAGCCTAGATTTCCTAATAATGGGACTGTTCCACTTAGTTTGTTAAGAAGCATTAAAAAATACAAAAATCAGAGGAACATTTGGCCCTTAATTAACATATTTGTTTATCCTCATAAAAAGGAACAAGCCACATTCTCATTAAGCATTAGCTAAAGTATGAAGATACTTACAAGCTGATTTGATCCACAAAATCCACATGAAAAACAAAAATATTGAAAATAGAAGTATCAATAGAAGGAAAAGATCCTATTAATAGCCAATTATATTTGTTGTCATATAGAATGTTAGCAGATTCCCTGATAAAAATTTTGATATAAGTACTGGAAGACTCAAATTATTATTAGAAGAAAAAATCATCTCAAGAGTTATAATTCAGTCGAAGCCTACATTTCCTCATAAAAGGACTGTCCCACTGAGTTTAATAAAAAGCATTTAAAAAATAATGTTAAAATCATAGGAAGCATTTGACCCTGAATCATCATATTTCTATATACCCAATGGATAAAAGTCAGATGACTCAAGTTATTATTAAAAGGAAAGAATCATCTTACAAAAGGACTGTCCCATGGAGTTTAATAAAAGGCATTAAGAAAATCTCATTTGACCCTTAATTAACATATCTGTATAATCTCATAAAAGGAACAAGCCACATTTTTGCTAAGCATTAGGTATAGTATGAAGATACTTACCAGCTGAGTCATTCGATCAACACAATCCACATGAAAAGTTAAAATATTAAATGCATTCAATTTAATAGAAGAAAAAGATCCTTTTTCAAAGTTTATTTCATTCATTGTTCTACAGAATGGTAATAGCAGATTCCCTGAGAAAATCTTGATGAAACTTAGAGGACTCAAGTTATATATTATTCAAAGGATAGAGTCATCTTGAAGGTTATAATTAAGTCAAAGTCTACGCTTCCTTATAAAAGGACTGTCCCAATGAATTTAATAAAAGGCATCAAAAAGATAAGAAAATCAGAGAAAGCATTTGACCCTAAATCATCATTTTTGTATATACCCATAACCGTTAGAAGACTCAAGTTATCATTAGAAGGAAAGAATCATCTTGAAAGGTATAATTATAAAAAATTTGAAAATCAGAGGAAGCATTTGACCCTGAATTATCACATTTGTATATCCACATAAAAGGAACAAGATAAATACTCATTAAGCATATTAGCTAAGGTATGATTGGTTCCACAAAACCCACATGAAAAGTAAAGATGTTAAATTTATCAATTATAGAAGAAAAAATCCTTTTAAAAGTTAACTTTATTCATGAATTGTCATAAAAAATGGTTAGCAGATTCCCCGATAAAATCTTGATAAAAGCTAAAAGACTCAAGTTATTAATGGAAGGTAAGAATCATCTTGAAAGTTATAAATCAGTCAAAGCCTAGATAATAGGACTGTCCCACTGGGTTTGATAGAAAGTATTCAAAAATATATGAAAATCAGAGGAAGCATTTGACCCCGAATTATCATATTTGTATCCTCATAAAAGGAATAAGTCACATTCTCATTAAGCATTAGGTAAAGTATAAAGATACTTACAACCTGATTGGTTTCACAAAACCCACATAAAAAGTAAAAAATATTAAATGTATTAATACAAGGAAAAATTCCTTTTAAAATTTAATTGTATTCAATGTCTTACAGAATGCTTAGTAGATTCCCTGCTAAACACCTTGTTAAATGTTAGAAGACTCAAGTTATTTAAATAAATAACTTGCGTTATTTTACAGTTCCAGGCACCTTATTGGATTTGTAACCGTGCAAACATGATAGCGAGGCTTATGCTAACCCGGCGGTTCTTCCAAACAGCTGATCTGCTGACATTTCGCTTCCTAATGCACATTTAATGCGAGTTCTTCCCTCAAAATAGTTCTTAAATAGACTGACTGTCGACAGCTGGTCTTATTGGTAGCTGCTTTGATAGCTCCCAATGTGTAGTTAATAATTATTTAAGGTAGAGTGTTAATTTGTAATAGTTCGGATATTTTTAAACTAATTGGAAATATTGCATTTGTTTAATCTTTTGCAATAGTTCTGGCTGGAAAAGCATGCAGGCCTAATGGTCATGACTCCCTGGCTAGACATATAGGTGTGTAAATGGGTGGAGGCAAATTTAAAATGGGAGTAACCAGGTGATGGACTGGCATCCTATCCAGGAGGAAGGGAAAGTAGAAATATTTTGTTGCTTAGGCTGTATGGGCTACTGGCCCGACGCAGACTTTTTTAAATTCTAATACGTGCTTCTCCATGAACAGTGCCAGTGAGTGTTTTTTTTTTCAAGACCCTCTGAGAAAATTTTCGTATTAAATTATTTAATAAGTTCTGAATTTAACACTAATTTTTAATCATCAATGTTCTTATTTATTTATTTACTTTTATTCTTTTTTTTTAATTTGATATTTTTCGGTCATTCTGGGAATTCTGGGTATTCCGAGTATTCCGGTTCTGGTTCCGAATTCTGAAATTCTCTATTTTCCAAACTACCGTAACGTATCACAGCGCCACGAGACTATGAGAGGTATTTGGCCTGTTAACACCTTTAACTCATTGATATTTTTAGACAGCAAAACAAAAAGGTCATCACACTATCATGAGGCTACGTCAGTCGTCTTTAGCACCATTCACTCTTTTTACCCATTGTGTCATCTTAAGTTGCTGTCACCTTGTGTAAATATCTTGTGCGGAACAGATCATAAGCTGTTCTTATATGTTCTGACTTTTGTAATCTATAGCAATCTCTACTGTAACCTCTCGAAATAGTGCGAATAAAAATGAATGAATGAATGAATGAATGAATGAATGAAAGGAATAATCGTGGTAAGTTTATTCATTAGGTATCTTTATTTAAACTTTTCCGCCAAATGACAAACCCACGCGTAAAGTCACGCAAGTCACCACAATTTTTCGTAACACTCATAATAGCTCATTGTAGCTTATTGTAGCTTATTGTAGCTTATTGTAGCTCATTGTAGGTCGTTGTAAATCATTTTAGGTCATTCCTTGTTCCCGTGGTAACCCATTGTAGCTCATTGTAGGTCATTGTAGCTCTTTGTAGGTCGTTGTAGATCACTGTAATTGTGGAATATGTGGTACCTGTCTGGTGTCCTTACCTCGTCAAGGACATCCATGCTCTTGAGAATGTACAGCGAAGAGCTTCAAGACTTGCTTTAAATCAACGCAAAGGAGACATGTCCTACGAAGACCGATGCAAATTGCTAAAATGGCCTACTCTTTCCGACTGTAGAACTTATCTATCTTTAGTTGAGTGTTGTAAAATTATTTTTGGTTTTTACCATTTAGATTTTGGAAACTTTTTTGATTTCGTCATAACTAGATGTACGAGAGCAAATCATCAGTACAAACTTTACATCAAACCAGCAAGACTTAATTATTGTTATAAACATTCGTTTTTCATTAGGATTGTTAAATTATGGATGAATTACCAAGAAACAGTGGAAGCTGATAATCTTCAGCATTTTAAATCTCAGCTTAAATTGTACTTAAATATTTAATTATAACTAAGTATTTTATTTTCATTTAGACTTATTTTTTAGGGAGTTTTCACATAGGGATAACCTCTTAACTTCCTTTTCTGGAAGCATATTTTCCCTTTCCTCTTAGTGTATACATAGTCTGCTTCTGGAATAAATAAAGTATGTATGTATGTATGTATGTATTGCAGGTCATTCCTTGTTTTAGTAACCATGCACTCAACACTAGCCTCGCGATCATGTCTGCGTGGTTACAAATCCAATATGGTGCCTGGAACTGTAAAATGGAAATAATTCAGTCAAAGCCTAGATTTCCTAATGAAAGGACTCACCTGCTGAGTTTGATAAAAGGCATTACAAAAATGTGAAAATCAGAGTAAGCATTTGACCCTGAATTATCATATTTATATATCCTCATAAAAAGAAAAGGCCACATTCTCATTAAGTATTAGGTAAAGTATGTAGATTCTTAGGACCTGATTGGTTCCACAAAGCCCACATGAAAAGTAAAAATATTTAATGTATTAGTACAAGGAAAAATCCCTCTAAAAGTTGATTTTATTCATTGTTATACAGAATGGTTAGCAGATTCCCTGATAAAAATTTTGATTCAAGTAAAAAGACTCAAGATATTAATAGAAGGAAGGAATCATCTTTGAAGTTATAATGAGGTCAAAGCTTAAATTGCCCAATAAAAGGACCCTTCTGCAGAGTTTGATAGAAGCATAAAAAAATTATGAAAATCATTGGAAGCATTAGACCTTGAATCATCATACTTGTGTATCCTTATAAGCCACATTCTCATTTAGTATTAGTTATAGTATGAAGATAATTACAATCTGATTGGTTTCACAAAACCTACATGGAAAGTAAAAATGTTAAATTCTTTAATAGGAGAAAATAAATCCCCTTCAAATGTAAATTATATTCATTGTTATACAAAATGGTTAATTAGCAGATTCCCTGATAAAAATCTTATAAAAGTTAGAAGACTCAAAGTATTATAATAGAAGAAAAGAATCACCTTGAAAGTTAAAACTCAGTCAAAGCCTAGATTTTGTTATAAAGGACTGTCACACTGAGTTTGATAAAAGGCATTAAAACAATATGAAATCAGAGAAGGCATTTGACCCTAATTAAATTATCATACTTGTATTATCCCCATAAAAAGGAACAAGATCATAAATTCTCATTGAGTATTAGGTAAAGTTTGAAGATACTTACAAACTGATTGGTTCCACAAAATCCACATGAAAGGTAAATATATTAAAATGTATTAATAAAAGGAAAAAATCCTTTTAAAAGTTAATGTTATTCCTTGTGATATATATAGAGTTAAGTTGTGATTATATCATGAGATAATTTGTTCCATGTAGTCCCTCAGGTCAAAAACACCGGATAAACACGAGCAAGATATCAGCACCCATGAGAGGCTGATTCCCAAATTTTCTGCTGTCCAACTTTAGAACTTTGCTGAACCAGTTAACCATGGTAATGGGTCAGTAGGCATCATGGAATACAGTGCACATACTGTATTCACCTACTCTGTAGCTCCCCTTTGACGATTAACTTAAACAATAATTAATTTTGTTTTTGTCTCGAGAGGAAACAAGTGGTCAAACGCATGATTACCTCCATATACTTCCACTCTCAGAACTTTCCAATTATGATACGCTGTTGGCACAAACTGGATGAACCTTGCACTTGCAAATTCATCAAGACTGTTCTTTTTAATGGCGTTGCTGTTTGAATTTCCACGAAAGGCCTGGAGTTAGAAGTACAGAAAGAGATACCTTAAGATGGTTGTAAACTTTTACGTGTAGTGTATTACCCATTGGCGCATGCGTACGAGAGTTGTTGTTCGTTGTCCGCCATTAAACTGTTGAGTTAATGTGTGCTGGTTTAATCCGAGTGTTACTAGTTAAATCCGAACCATCCGGGCGGGATACTACAACTGGCGACGAGGAAAACCACTTATTGAATGACCTATATTGTAGTTTGAGAATGGCTGTCGCAATTACCACTGATTTAGGTGGAATATCTAACTTCGATATTCACGGGAATCCTACAACTGTTGGAGCACAATGGAAGAAATGGAAGCGATCATTTGAATTATTCTTCGTTGGAAAAGGAGTAAAAACGCAGCGCAAAAGAAAGCCCTTCTTCTTCACTGTGAGGACCACTAATGCAAGATGATCCCTCTACGTTTCCAGAAGCTCGAGAACCTGACGAAGGTGAAACTGTTTACACAGTACCGATTGATTGGTTCTGTGTAACGAAAGATTCATTGGTCCATTGTTGCCTTTGAGGTATGGTGAAAAATTTATTGCATTTAAATCATCAAGTAAATGTCTAGGAGTAACTAGACAGTAATCTTTCTTGGCAAGAACACTCCAGAAGTTTGTTAAAATCTTTTAATAAGAAAATAGCAGTCCTCAGAGGAATTAAATTCTTGCCATCACCCATTCTACAGACCATTTATTTTAGGACTGTACTTCCAAGTGTCTTATACGGAATACCAGTATGGGGTTCCTGCTCACCTGCAGTAATGGATGATCTTGAGCGTGCTCATATACGAGCTTCTAAACTTATTTTTAAACTTTCAAGGAATTAGAATGCTGATCAATTAAATAAATTGAAAGGCTGGAACAACTTATCTTTTTACTACTAATAATGATAATTTACATTTATATAGCGCGGACCTCTATATGAATATACTCAGTCACGCTTCACAATATCGTAAGATAAATTATGGCAAAAGTAACTAAGATATAAGAACCTATTGGAACCTACAAGTCTATGCACTCAAAGAGAACAATAGCTTAGCTAAGTGAATAAGAAACATGATTAAAAATAAAAATCTATTTGAAAGCTAGATTAAAAAAATGAGTTTTGATAGCAGTCTTGAGTGTCCAATGTCTTTATGTTACAAATTGTCAAAGGTAATGCATTCCAAAGAAGAGGTGCAGCTGATTGGAAGGCATGATCACCAAGGGTTGGACGGTTATTTGTCCAAGCATATGTACCAAAGTCCTCTTGGCTACATCGTTATGTGAAGGTTAGAAGAGTTACAAAGAATATTTGTAAGCTTAATACAAAGAGGATAAGATAAATAAAATTACAAAACATGATAAGAAGTATTTGTTGAATTGTTCAGTGAGGGTATATCAGAGGACAATGAAATTGAAGTATAGAGCAAGGTGGTATTTATCAAGGTTTTCTTGTAATAGACCCTTGTGTCTTTATATATGGCACTAATTTTATGGCCAAGCTAATGAGTTGGTATTTGGACAAAATTCAGGACAACAATGTGTTGCAACGAGTTCATGCTCCTTGATTTACAATAACAAACAAGGAATCAATTCTGCTAATGATCTCTTGTCAATAATGAGTATTGGAAATCAGTTGTATTCAAGTTTCTCTCAGTTAACCAGACAATCAGTTTTAATGCAGACAGAATTACCCACACTTTTAAATGTGTTAAAGACTGAAGAGCCTTTCAATCACTTTTATCCGAAAATTTCAACGATTTTGTCTTGACAATAGGATGTACTGCAGTTGCTATCTATTGTAAAGGTAATGTGGGCTTGAAAATATTCGATTCTCCTGCAAGGGATATTTATTGTAGAAGCCATCCTTAAGGTACATGTGTGCTGCTTGAAGTATCACTGAATAGCTAAGTACATTGTTTTCAGAGTATACATAACAATGATGTATTTGAGTTGAAAGGGGTGAAAATTAACAGAGTTCAAAATAGTACCCTTTTTCAGAGTCGTGCTTGTGAAACCAGAAAGTTCAATGTGAGTTGTGCTGTGGCTGTCTATTCACTCTGCTACTACGTAATAAAATCATATAGTTATTGGAATTCAAACACCTTATCTAATGTTATTCAGTATGGCAAAAGATTTTATGAAAAATCAATTCTTGAAAATCTTGTCAGAAATAATGGTGAATGCACAGGGTTTTTGATGTGGTTTTCAGTGTTTTGTATGACATGTATTTTTAAACCTACAAAAAGGTCAAAATGTGTGTATTCCCTCTTGGTATTTAATGAAGGTAAAATGCCTCCAAATGAATATACTAAAACTGTAAATAGCATGACTACTTCTCTTGTTGTGGCCATCAACAATATTCAACTGATATTCAGGTATTTTTCTCTTATAAACAATATGAACTACTGAACATTAATATTGCTTCAATCTACTGATTTCTGACAACTCCCTCTGGGTGATCATTTGGCAATATACTATGACTCAGTACCAATAATAGATGAAGAGTGCCCTTCTCCTTCCAGTTAAAGGCAAATACATATTAACCTATTCAAGGTTTGTAAAAGCCTTGAAAATCCTTGAAGGTGCTTGAATTTAAAAATAAAAAATTCAAGGCATTGAAAATACTTGAATTTGCAATGCTTTTTCTAAGCAATTTTCAAGTTGAAAATAACTACTTTCATGGGAAAGCTGAGAAATAATATTGAATGATTTTAAAATTGCTTGTGCAAACCTTTCCAAAAGTGGTCCTTCAATTTTCTAAAACTTGGCCTTCAAAGTCATTGAAAAGTCCTTGTAGTAACCTACTCCTATATAGTAATATATTATTTTGATTGTTATCTAGTACCATAACAGCATTCATTACACTCCAGCAAACAAAAATAAACACAAGTAGACTTATTCATGACCAGCAAAGACGGAATTGCATGACGACAGTAACAGTCCTCTAAAGATAACTTCAGATATGCGATATTGAAAGCCCGAGTTCACGCAGCTATATGTCTAGTCACACTAGTTTTCATTCCAGGATCTATTTCAAACAAGGGAGAGATTGTAGGGTATTACCCATTGGCGCATGCATAGGAGAAGTGTTGTTAGAACACGTTGTCTGCCATTAAACTGTTGAGTTAATGTGTGTTGGTTTAATGTGAGTGTTACTGGTTACATCCGAACCATCCGGGCAGGATACTACATTACGCATGTTCAGTAATCATTAAAATCAATAGTTCATTGATGAACAGTAACTTCCAGCTGATTATGACAGATAAAAATGTGAAGGTGTAGTCTGATCGTCCGGGTGAGTGTAGTCCTGAGAAGGACTGTTGTCGGTGGCAGTGACTGACGTTTCGACAACCTGTGCGGAAGTCATCATCAGAGTCAAGTGAATGATTGTTGTCAGTAGAATGTTCTTATTCCAGTTCGTGTGAAATGATCGGTTGGTTTTGCCGTGATGTTATTGGCTGTAAGACTCAAGTGACGTAAGTCGGTCGTGATTGGTCTGTTTCGNCGGCCCAATGGTTCTGTGTGTTATTTTGGGGCTTATGAGTTATTAAATTCAATCTTAAACCCCACAATCACACACATGCAGTATTCCTGGGCTGCCTGAGCCCTAACATCTACCCATAATTGTCTTTTCATGACTTCTAAGAGTCCTTTGAAGTGTAATAAGTTGATTACAAAAGTGTCTCACAGAGCTTCCTACCAAGCACTTATTCCAGAAGAGTCATTTGTGTGATAAAGTAACAGTACAAGCTATCTCTAACTTCACGCGAAACCACAGATACACATACATGCCATCTACTGACTGTGGAATACAATATTACAGTGAAGAAAGGAGAAAGTCAACCAGAGGAGATCTTGGCCTTGTGATTCACTGACTGCAAAAAGAGCCCTTTCCTATATATAAATCACACTAATTTACACAGCATAACCAATTAAATTGAATGTTTATAGCAAACACAGGTGTGCTATAAAAGAGAGGATGGTTAGCGAGTTCAATTCCTACAACAATCATCCTCTCTCCTTGAGAGACATTAATACACTCTTAAATCTAAATACCCTGCTCCACTTTATACATATAGTAGTCTAAAATTTAAAAGGATCACTTAGTATTACTGAAAATTAGCTGCAGAATGCAGAGTATGAATTAACATCATATTCCGATTGTGCTTTTTAAGGTTACCATCTGTATAATTTCAAGTAAAAAGGAAACTTTTATCATCAAGACTGAAAGTTGACAATGAAAAGAAACATTGATTATGCATCCTACTCTTAACTCAGAACATTCAGCAAGTACAATGAAAGCAACCAACCTTTGCTCTATTGTTTTCTTGGTAGGTGATAAAAGTGACACCATCATGAGATAATTGTATTTTGTACTTTGTTGTCCATTCTGATGTGCGTGGACTTCCCTGAGTAGCCACTGCACAGATGACATACTCGCACAGCAGGTCAATTTGTAGGTAATCGCCAGGATCGTTTCTTACTGTTGGTCCCCATCCCCTTCCCATATTGTTATTCAGTCGACCATTTTCAGCTTCATAACGAAAATCATACATTGAGGAGGCTGTGAAGCTACTGTCTGGAATTTTACCACCATAATGCAAACCAATGGCCGTAAAATAACAAGCTGCAGATAAAAATATCAACAATTATTAGTCTTCATATCTTTTCAATTTATATCTTCTGCGGCATGTAAAGGATCCCACCTCAAATTACTGGTAACAATCCCCATCATAATTATACAATTGTAAATATATCGAATACAAAGATTTCCTTTCAAAGTGAGTGTTTGAGCACTTCATGATAGATTTACAATTAACACTTTTTGATGCATTAATAGAGCAAGTTGCATAATGGCTAAATAAGTTAATAAACCAACTTTTACTGTTGAAATGTCTCTAAAGCAATATCTCAAAATGAATTTTTTGTGCTAGATGAAGCAACTTACAGAGTTGTCAATCCAATGTTGACTTCATGAGCAGCATATTGAAACAATAATGTTCGTCAGTTAATTTGGTTTATTTTCTCCTGTTACAATCCTTCAAGTCAGATTAGGACTTAAAGCTCAGCTTTTTTGAAGATTGCCATTTTGTTACCTCAAGTATTGAGAGTATCCAAAAATTAAGTTAAGTCAACAGAAAAGATAAATCTATAATTTCATCACAGAAAAATTATCTCCACTCGTGAACCCCACTATATTTTTAGGCCAGAAACTCAGACTGCTAATCAATACTTATAATCACTTAATTACTACAAGGCTGACAAAGACAGGTCCCCAGGTTGGCAAATTTGACCACCAAAATGAGTAATTAAAAGAAAAACCTTTACTTTTTTTCCTTAATTTTCCTCTGGTGACAATTTCGTTTTCTGGTAATCATAAAATGATTTGAGGTTGATAAATGGCCTATTTAAAAAATGTTGAGCTTTAATCTCCATAAGCATGCAAGGGTACATTATAAATTCTATGCTCACCTTTTTTTTCTACTCCAAACATCTCTGTTCTCATACACACCCCACCCTCTTGTGTTTTTGGCAGAAAACGCAGATATCTTGTCAACACTCCATAAACAACATGCTTCACTTCTGAGTTCCTGTCGTTGTTTCCTTTTAAAATCTAACATTATAACAAACAGTTAATTTATCTGACCATAAATTTCGTTTTCTTACATGTTTGTGGAGATATAAGAGCATGCACACGCAATGATATCCACAGGTATAAAGCAACAGTCACTGAAATATTATTAAAGTACATGTACTTAAAAATTTTACTTCATGCAATCAGGACTTTCATTTATGATCATTATCAACTGAAGCATAAGTTCCTTTTCAGTATAGTTATTGCCCACTTAATCAGACCTGAACATGATTTACATTTGTGTGAGACACTTTAAGTATACCTGTACCCTACATCAACAACAAAGAAAATGATTTAACTTGAGCAGTCTACTTAAAGTGTACTTCAAAAATGGTACTGCAGTTGTACTTGTGTAAGTGCAATACTACTGAAGTATTGTTGAAGTATGATTACAGTATAACTATTATTAATGCAGTATAATTGTAGTATACTTCAAGGTTATCTTTTTCGGTAAGGGGCAGTTAAAAAAGTACTATGAGTAATGAGAATATTTTTAATCTTCCGATAATTTCTTCCTTTCTGAGCAGTATTTGTTATATACCTTAGCTTTTCCACCTTCCTTGTATTCTGTCCAAGTTGTCCCATTTGTGGATAATTGCAGTGTATAATTCTTCACCCACTGATCTGCTTGAGAATTCCCTTGAGTTGAAACAGCACAGATGACATGAAGTGTCTGTAGATCAATCTGCAGATATGGGTTGGTGTCACTGGTTCCTGCACACCATGATGATCCTGATGTGTAGTTGAGTCGACCATTCTTGGCTGGTGTGCTGGCATTACGTACAGAAGAAGCAGTCATGTGACCATCTTGAATTGTTCCACTTCCCACTCCAAGATGTAAATCAATGCAGACTCCTAAAGAACCAAACCCTACATTGCAGTGTATAACATCTTCATAATAGTTATTGTAACAGGGATTTGACCACCACAAGTTAAACAGCACCTCCCCCATGAGGACCAACCACCATCAACTATCATCAAATTAATTAACATGATTAATATTTTAACATGACTATACTGCTAGTCCTTTCAACTTTGGAACCACATGAAATAAAGTAAGGTAAGGAATAAATTGGGAAACACAAACAGTAAAAGACTGCAAGTAGCTACTGGCAAAGCACACTTGTTATTTACCATAAATAAAGAACAAGAGGATGTATAATAACACCAGAAGGAAAGTGTTAATTGTTACAAGAATTTTGATAAGTTTTAGTTTCTCATTTCATTTTTTTGTAAAGCTTAAAATTTTCCATTTTTAGTTTTTGTGGATGGGAGGTATAAAACACTGACTTCTTACTCTCCCTGGGACAGTTATACATGTTGCAACATGAGAGTAGGTCCTTGACAATCCCTTCCACATCATGTGGTCCTCTACAATCCACCACCGCAAGTTACACTGCATGTCCCCCATGAGGACCAACCACCACCAACTATCATCATTTTAGAAATCAATTAACATTATTAACATGTTGAAATGATTAACATTACTGACATCTTGCCAGTTTTGCAAATGGTATATAATAATAGTTATTGTAACAGAGATTTGACCACCACAAGTGAAACAGCACCTCCCCCATGAGGACCAACCACCATCAACTATCATCAAATTAATTAACATGATTAACATTTTAACATGACTATACTGCTAGTCCTCTCAACTTTGAAACTATATCAAATTAACATGAACAATTTGGAAACAAAATAAACAGTCAAAGACTGCATGTGATTTAAACAGCAACGTGATCTCTCTCCTAATGATAAACAACTTCACAAAGCTTCCATGACGTACAGATCTCATCTATTGAGTTATTTATGCAGGAAAAAGTTTTGAAACAAATTATGCGACGGTGCATGCTGTGCGAAATTATTTGGAGATGCTTATTGTCCGTTGTAGTGTCACAGCAAGAACTGAAAAGATTGTACCTTTGGATCTACGTAACTCTCTGATCTACACGGTAAAATGCTATCTCTTTAAAGAAAAATATATTCCTTGAAGTTCCATGATGCACCGATTTAACATACTAAGATATATCTGCAAGGAAGACATTTGTCGAAATCGCACGCAATCCTGAAATGATTGTGAGATTCTTATCATCTTTAATACTATCTTCCGTAGTGTTATGGTATGAAATGAAAACATAATGTGTGGCTATAAGCCACAAATCGCAAAAGGAAAGAACTCAAATATGTTTTGAGTGCAAATGTTGAACTTCTAACTAAAGGGTATCCACCGCTTTTGCCCCCTATTGGATTCGCCTCTCAACTTATTCCATGTTCGCCCCCACGCTTTTCGAGTTTGAAGAGTTAGCGAACCTATGTAGACCGCTGACCGTTATACCGCGGGCTGAGTACTGGGGACGAGGGAAAAACTGATCGAACAGACATGCTTCCATCCTCGGAGACCCAGGGGCTGTGGGTCGATTTCGAGTTAGGGCATGAAGAGCCCCTGGGGACATTGTCTTACAAGACTAGTTCCAAATGGTCGCAGTCGTTCTGCCATCTGATTGGTGCCAGAAAATCTTTGTGTTTTTCTGCCCAATCAGAGTGAAGTGTGCTTTGGAGTCCTTTCGTGTGTTGTAACACGGACAAATGCTAATAGCTCAGTTGCTCGCTATGTTTGTTTGGGCCGTGCGACGGAGATTTGCTTGAGGTGAAAAGTTTCAGTCTCAGCACACAATGTAAGAGAAATCGATCAGATTGTCCGCGAAAATCTTACCGGAAATTATACTGAATACTTTCGCAGGTATCACTAGAGAACGTGTTTTAAAGTTTGCGAGGTTTGTATACAACACGATGGTTGCAGTCATTGATATGTCGCTTTAAACGTTAAACGAGATTTAAGCTTAAATCTTTCTAGATTTTTTGCATAATTTGCTGTGACTGAAACTTTGCCAATCCCGTGAAGTTATTTCGTCGCACGGGCCACGCAGGTATGTCGAGCAACTGGTACTAGCGTATCTTTCCGTGCGTGCCAAAATCTA